TCTTAACTAAATAAATAACTTGGCAAGTAAGATACCCTCATTGTTCCTAGTACCAATATGCATTACAAAATTAAGATAAACTTTCTTAAAAATAGAGTTAATGGTTTGTCAACTTTAAAATTTTAGACATTTTACTAATGTTAGAATTATTTCTCCAGCTACTCAATATATGAAAATAGTCACATATTGGAAGTGGCATGTCACTGAGAAGGAAGGGTTATGAAATGAGTGAAAACACTAGGTGGGACAAGACTGTTTTTGTTCAAATTTCAGCTCTACCATTTAATAAGCTGTATTACCTTGACGTGTTTACAAATTCTTTCAGTGCCTTTATTCTCTCCTCTGAAAAAAAAATGAAGATAATGGTAGTCCTTTATGAGTCCCTATTCATTAATATCTAACAGCATACAGTAGACAGTAGCAATTATTATAAACTCATATTATGCCTGGAACCAAAGTCCACACATTTGCCTGTCAGGTATTGCTTCTATGAGGATGAAATGGCTAGTAGGGTCCTTTGAGTTCAGGTGAACATTGGGACTCACAAAAATATCATAGGCTACACATGGTATAAGTTTGTCAAAATAGCTATAGGAAAGGAAATATACTTCCCAAGTAGGTTGTGATTTTCTCTCAGCAGGAGCCCCAGAAGAAATAATTAGCATGGCAGTTTGCACAGGCATTGGGCAACTGTGCTTTCCCCAGGTGACAGACCAGGTGCATGGATGTAAGATCTGCATCAATGGAAGCATGGTTCATTTAAACTTAGAATTCTCATACAAGGTCAGGTCTGATAAAAAAAAAATATTACTTCCTGAATATGATGAGTTAGAATCGTATTGTGTGACATTCTGGTATTTTAACATGATACAGGTGAGAAATGTATAAAATCAAAAGAAGGAATATCTAGCATATCTTTATGAATATTTCTCTTGCTGTCAATAATTACAATAGAATTTTGACAAGGGTTTTTTAGCAGACATCAACTTAACTAGTTGTCAAGAACATGTGTTGTAGGTAATTAATATGGTCTTTTGTAAAAAGATCCAGATCTTTTTTTCTATACTAGTTACATGGACATAATGTTGACATCTTCTGAGGAAAAAAAAAAAAGATAGCTTTTATGATAAAGAGTTACCGATATATTTCCAAGTAGGAGCAAGTCTTTTATTTGAAAACATCTTTAAAACTGGTCAAATTTGTACTGTAGTTTAACTGAAACCATATAATACAAAGCACAGAAGAGACACTGTAATTAAAGAAAGTTCAGATTGAAATAAGAAGGTAATATTAAATAAGACTCTACTAAGATGGGAATTATTTGGATGCTTTGGAAAATATAGCTCACAATTAGAATCAGTGAATTTATTAAACATAGTTACTTATTATTTATCTAAATATAGTAAAGAACCTGCCAATTTATGTTTGTGCATATGCAATATGCAAAACTAGTAGATTATTGGGCTAAATCGTTTTGAAACTACATCAGTTTTCTGAGCATAAGCATAAATCATCAGCATAAGCAATATTGGTGGCATCTATAGATATTTACTATGTAAATGGTAGATTTGATTTAATCCAGAAAAGAAGCTCTTAATTTAGGTCACATTAGTCTTTGAAAAACTATTAGAACTCTTCCTTTTTGGAAGGATGGGAAGGGAGCTACTATATGTGAGAACATGCAAATGTTTACATGTATCAGTATGATATCTGAGGGATTTTGAAGAATATTATTGTTCCCATTGATACCTTCATCAAAAATACTTCATCTAGATCAGGGGAGAGTGCCACTAGATTGGGGGAAAAGAGCTTTCCTCTACAGTAAACATTTCAAGTTATATTTGCCTGAAAAAATTTTCAATTAATGTAAGTCATTTGCAATAAATAGAGATTTTGTGGATCTGAGTTTTACAATCTCTTGGTTTTCTCTACCAGATCTTTGGAATAAATAATACTCTTGTCTTTCACAGGTACATTTGTAAAGTTTAGAAAATTTTGTTCAATAAGTTGAACACGGATCCCAATGCAGTACATTACCTCACTCAAATTTTGCTTTGTCTTTTCACAGAGGGTTCTACTGAATCCTCCCTTTAAAGGGTTTTTCATGAAAGTACACCTGGATAAAAAGATTTACAATAATTTTCCACTGACATTAAATTGTGCATAGTTATTCTCTAGGGGGTAGGCCATAAACACTGCTTAGGCATTGAACAAAATTTCCTGTCATTAGCTAGGGTTATCTTTGTCTATTGCTTGTATGGCCTGAGATTTGGGTAATACCTAGGAGTTATACATCCTAGCACATGGAGTTCTTAGACCTCAAATATCTTCATAAATTGTTGTACAAGCTTTCCTCAAAAAATAACAGTATTCGTTGAGCAATTGTCCTAATTTATCTGCAAAACTACTCTTCATGCACTCCCAGAGGGATAATTTTTCCTGTGGTTTTTCTGACTCATGCAGAGAATAAGATTTCACTATAGCCATTTAGGATTTTAAAATCTAAAGATTTGTCAGAGGCCAGCAGAAGAGATCACAATTGCACAGATAGGCATTATCTGATTAAGTGAGGAAAGAAGACAAGCTGGTTTCCAGATTGTGAGGCGTGGATTATACTTACACTAGACTGCTCATCTATAGATATCACTTTCATGGAAAAATAAAAAGGAGATGAAATAAATAATCTATATATGATAATATTAAAGAATCAAAAGAAAAAGAAAAGAATGTTAGTTTTAAGCAGGGGGGATCCAAAGCTATATGGAGTGACAGGAATTTCCAAGAACCCGCTTTTGTCAAAGAGTGTATGGTGGTACAGAACCCTCAGGATAAACCCAATACTTTCATATATGAGGGATGAAATGACCGTGGACCTTTAGAAAAATTTGCTTTTTTCCTAATGGTGGGATTGGAAACCACCTCCAAGCTCCAGGAGGTTTTTAATGAAAATTAATCATTAAAGAGCAGATTTTTAGCTTGCAATCTGTCAGCAGAGTAATTTAGTAACTAAGCATGTGTTAGTCAGCTTTGCAGTACTGTGATGAAAATACCCCATAAGAACAATTTAGAGGAGGAAAAGTTTACGTGGGTTCATGATTTCAGGGTTCAGCCCTGGTCGGCCAACTCCACTGTTTCAGGACTGAGATGAGGCAGAACATCATCAAAGAAGGGCTCAGTGAAGGAAATCTGCTTAGCTCCTGACAGACAGGATGCGGAGAGAGAGCAGGAAGAGTCAGAGACAAAATATATAATCCCCAAGGCATCCCACCCCCAATGACCCACTTCCTGTAGCTGTATCCCACTTCCCATATTTCTATTCAAATTATCCATCTATCAAAAGGATTAATCCACTGATTATTTTAGAGCTCTCATAATCCATTCATTTTACCTCCTGCTTTAATGCAGAAGAAGCTTTTAGAGGACACCTGATATCCAAACCATAACAGTGTGTTATTCTGGTCACAATTCTATGATTTTTATAGTTATATACAGATTCAGAAGCTCTAAGTGTGCTCCAAAATACATACGAGTACTTGATGAAATCCTGTTTAATGTTTGTAAAACATGTGACATTTTCCTGCCACATGCACAGATTTTACATTTCTGGCTTCAGGAAGTAAAATGATGTACTGATGAATCGTTGCCAAATACTACACCTTTCAAATTATATGTATGTTTTTGGTTTTACCTTGTCAAAGATTTCAGCCTTGGCACATAATGGAACTAATTAAATTTTCTTCCCAGGAAGCAGCCAGCTAGACCAGTGCCCCAGGCACATAACCTCAGCTTACAGCTTTTCTTCCCTCATTTATTCTGTATGTGAGATGAGACTCCTCTAACAGCAAAGGTAAAGTACTCAGGCCAGGCAGCTGCTGATGGATTTTAGTAACTACAGAGCCAGTGTTTGAATCTCAACCCTGATAGCACACATCACAAAGGGGTGACAGTGGAGGCTCATCTTTCTGTGAGTTGGCAGTGGATGACAATCTGCCAAACTAAAATAATGGAAAAGGCATTGGTAGTATAAAAATGAATCAATTTGACTTAGCTCTAAGGTATTTTGCAAGATTCTAGGAACATCACTTCATTTTTTCCTGAGATTATTTTTATGAACAACCCAGACAAATATAACAAAAACAGGATCATGTGAATAAAAATTTTATTTAGTAATCTCATTAATGCATCTTCATATGAAGCAAAGAAAATCATATTTAATAGCAATAGACTCTTTAGCAGTGACTGTACTCATTTCCTTACATATATTGTTTTACCTTTAATAAACATACTTTTCCTATTTCATGACTAAAGAAACTATAATAAATGATTAAACAGTTTCTCCAAGTTACCAAAAGGAAGATCTGGAATTTAAGCTTTATTTGACTGCAAAGCATTGGCTCTTTTTATGTTAACAGACTGCATAATAGAATAACAGTTCTAGGTTTAAAAAAAAAAAAAGAGATTCTTTTAGACAGAATTATTTATTTTATTTTTTTGCAGTGATAGAAAATGTTCATGCAAGAGAGTGGTAGATGTGCATAATATATAATTAATATTAATTTATATAATTAAATTATATAAAACATGGATTTTATTGAAGATAGTCCTGTTTTACAGAAAGGGCTCAGTATCACCCCCTGGAAATAGGCAAATATGATTCGAAGAAAGCAGTGATGGTATAACATTATGGTATTATATGGATTTGAGTACTGAAGAATTTATATGGTTTCACTGAAAACCAAGAGAAATAAATTAATCTAAGTTGCTGTCTTATGGGGTAACATAAGGATATATTTATGTAGCAGATAAATAGTAAACGATCAAAAACAATAGAATAGTATGATGTAAGCAACTACATATAGATACATAAAATAAGGATTAACTCATTCATTTCTGGAGTAAAAGCAAAGTGGTTCTTTTCAACTTCTACATTATTAAATCTCTTTAAATTCCTAATTACATTTTTGAACAAGACCTCTTTCTTCATTTTTTTTCCCCTCCAGTTGGACAGTGTCACCTCCCTGATCCAAGCAGCCAAAAATTTAATGAATGCTGTAGTGCAAACAGTGAAAATGTCTTATATCGCCTCAACCAAGATCATCCGAATCCAGAGTCCTGCTGGGCCCCGGCACCCTGTAGTGATGTGGAGAATGAAGGCTCCAGCAAAAAAACCCTTGATTAAAAGAGAGAAACCAGAAGAAACGTATGCAGCCATCAGACGAGGCTCTGCAAGGAAAAAAATCCATCCAGTGCAAGTCATGAGTGAATTTAGAGGAAGACAAATCTACTGAAAGCACTATTCTGCACGGGTGCCCACATTAGGAAGTCTGAACTAACCGCACTGCTTTATTTTACACTTGATTAGTTCTGTAATTTCACTAAGTTTCAGAGTTTAACTCACAAATAGCATAAAAAAAACATCGAAACTAAAACAACATAAACAACATATATTTGGGGTCATGTCACTGTTATAGTCCACACATAATGGTTAATCATCCTATGCTGGTCCAGTGAATGATGCCTTTAGGTATTACTCAGCCTGTCCCATCGAAGTGAATGTGTTATATTCATTACCAAATGAACACAGGAGACAAATGAGTCTTGTTTATCTGTAATAGTTTAAGTACCTTCACTCTTTTCATTGTGAAATTCAAATACTGACATTAACTCAATTTAGTTTCAATGGAAACAAAAGACTTTATAAAATATTTTGTCAGTTAATCTCCATACTTTCTTTATCTGACCTAACCTGATGGGAATGCGTGACTTCTTTGATAGGAAAAACTTTCAATCTCTACATATTTGTTTCTATTGTCAACTGATTAGTCTAATGTCTATCATTAGCTAATCAAATTTGAGCAGTGAAGTTACTGGATTTTGGAGGCCAGCCTTGGTTATTAACAAAATGCTTTATTAATATTATAAAGATTACAGTGACCTTTGATGCCAGGTATATAGCTTTTAGGATTCCATTGTGTTCAATAGTTCTGCACTTTTGATTACTGGGGCCCTTGAAACAAATATGTAGAAGAGCTATCACCTATAAGGTAACTGAGACACTGAACTACGTTCCAGAGTAAGTTATGATAACAGGAGTATGCAGAATTCTGCATGACTCTAAAATTCCATTTCTATCTGCTTGCAATTGTAATTAAAAAGAAAGGCCAGTTTGAAAAACCTTTTGGCATTGAGTAAAATATAACTCAGTGAATTGTACCATTGAACTATGAAACAGAGTTAATGGCAAGGAAGCTGGAGTGATCTTAATAGCATTCTTTTAAATAAAAGTCATTGGGGGTCATTTTATAAGTTCAATAACTGTGCTCATTCAGAGTTGAGTTCACAATGGACATCCTAATAGCCCCAGAGTCTAGTATTTGCTCTCTCTCTCCTTTACCTATTGGATTTTCAGTGAGCTCTTTGTAGAAATTAAGCCTCATCTATATTTTGTCTCACCCATGGGGTTTCCATTCATAGGATTTTTAAAATATTAATTCCATATTCTATTTTATAATAACAACATTATAAATTTAACTCATCACATGTAAAACATTGTTATTGATGAGCAGTTTCAATCACCATATCCCTTTAGATTGATGAAAAAAATATAATGTTTTTCATATAACACCAATTGATGTTAGGAGCACCAATTTGGGTAAATGGAGTCACTAAACATAAGAAAGCATATAGTTCAAGAGCAGGTTATATATGGTAAATTGAGCAAAATGGTATGGGAAAAGAAGGATATAATTAATAGTCTGGCATTAATTATGAGTGAAATGTTCCCTTTCCTTAATTATAATGAGTCATTTAATTTTTCAAAGTGCTGAATTGCCTGGGCTCTGTGTGCATACTTTTTAGGAATTAAAGACAATTAACTCCTTTCTGCCTTGCACCACATTCTTGCCACAATATTTATTCTGACCAAAGTCAAACACTTAAGAAAGAAGACAGTGAAGAAAACAAAATAAAAATTCAGATGGCTCTGTCGTGCAGAACTATCCAGACAAGTAAGGCAAATGGGGTTTCTTTTGTTGAAATGCTCCCATTGTATTCTGCTGCACATGTTGAGCACCTATATCACATCCTTCTATCAGGTTCAAGTGTGAACTTATTATTTAGCTGAGAAATGAATTTTCTTTGAAATTCATCAAACATCTAGCTCTTTATCTTAGCTCCTAAAGCCACATGCACACAATTTGGAAGAGTTTCATCTAGAAAAATCTAATATCCATTTGGCCCTATATGTTGTTTTTCCACATGTTGGAATTTAGAATGCAGTATTGGGACACCAATTACCAAATAACTTTTATCTCTTGAAATAAAAGTGACATTTTACTCAACATTATATGTGAACAAGTCTTTCTCTTTAATATAGGTAGGTTTCCAGCAGCTTAGCTCCAAGAAAACAACTGTGATTAAACAAAACAATAAAACTTTAGCTCTGCAAAAGTCCCAGGAGTAAATCTGCAGTATTAATCAAAGGGACAGTAAAAACAAGATGCATAAAGCTGAGAAATATATCTGTCCACATGAGCAAATTCCTGCAGTAGACAGAATTTCAAAATTTTATTAAAACCTGTGATAATACAAATGTGTATACCAAAAAATAAAACAAAACAAAACAAAAAAAAACCTAGTAGTAGATCTGTGTATTATAAAGCATAGGTAAATAAATATGTTCAATAAGTACATTTCTATTGGACTTATTTGTATGTAGGCCTTTCTTCTGCAGAGGAATGCTGGAAATTTCTTAATTAGAGTGATAATATGGAGGCCCATTATGAATCTTTGAAATCATATATATCATCAAGATTTCTATCTCCTCTGATAATATACTTACTTGATCTTACTAATTAGAACACACCCTTCTCTTCTGTTGAAATTGATTTATGTTCATTTGCATAGAAAAAAATAAGAGGAAAGAGAAATTTTATGCCACCCACAAGGACCATTCCATTCCTGGTGAGCCACCTGCATCACTGCCAAATGTTAAGACTAGCATCAAAATAACTTGGAAAATATCCATGAAATCAAATCCATTAAAGATGATTCTTCTAATTATAAAAACTAGAAGGTTTTCACCAAATATAAAAGGTGAAAAATATAAATCTCTATCACAAATTAAAAATTATTAAGATTAAAATGTTTTTACCCTAATGAATTTCTGAATAGTTCTTGAATGAGTCAGAGGTGCGGGGAGAACCTCAAACATTAAATTTCTATGCAAATTTCTCTGAATTATTACTTTCTGTTTGTCTTCGATATGAGTGCAACCTACAATGTGTTAGAAAATATGATGTAAAATACCAGCTACTTGGGAACCTGAGCAGGAGGATTGCAATTTGGAGATCAGCCTGGAGAACTTAGCAAAACCCTTCTTCAAAAGAAAGAGTAAAAAGGGCTAAGGATGTAGCTCAGTGGCATCACACATGACTAGGATGCATGAGGCTGTAGGTTTAATTCCCAGTACCAACCCCCTATCCCAAATTTATATATATATAATTTTTCCTTCATATACATAACAGTGCCTTTTGACCTTTGGAAATCTTTTAAGATCAATAATATATATGTTCCCCATAATCTCTTTTGTACAGCAATAAGGACCCCATGCCTACAGAGAGGACTATTCTTGCAATCCTACATTATTAAAAAGAGTTTTGGAAAAGGTCAGTTTTTCAGTCCTACTGTGGTAAGTTAGTTAAAATTGTGAGTATTTTTGAATTAAATATTTGTGAATTAAATGCCCAACTTGGGTCTTCAAACTTAATAATGTTCCTCAAATTCAATAATGAGTGACTAAAAAGACAGGCTGGGGTCTTCAATGTCTTCCTAAATCTTCACTTTTTGGGTGATCTCATTTCTTATCTATTTAAGCATCTATAAATTGACAAATATATTCTGTAGGATTTCAGTTAAATTTATACAAGTTTTTATTCCTTTACTCTTTCTAAACATTCTTTTTGGTGTCAAATACATACTTTAATGCTAGGGATCATGGTTCCCATGGATACGGATTCCTGTACAGTAGCCAAGTGAATGGAATGAGATCTAAGACCTTTCCTGGTGTTATCTACCATTCTCTAGTGAATTTCCTGCAGAATTGCCAGCCTGCTTTAGTACTGTCATAAGTTATTGTCTAGGTTAGAAAGATAGGTGCCAAAATATCAATTTCAATGAAAACTGTACTTTCTTTTATCAGCTTGTCTTTAGCCAAAACAGCTCACCTATGGTATATTTACGAATCAGCTATACATTTTATGTTTCTAAGGTCCAAAATATTTGTTTCACCTATCAAAAAGTTTAGGGGCACACGCTTAAAAACTTGCATGTTACTTTTTAAGTAAACTAGGAAAATTTCTACAAGTATGATGTTATTGTTTTTTCTATGTTCAAATATCAGGAAACAATATTTATCTAAAGGAAAACTCCCCCCTTTTTTTCTTTGCTTCTTTTCCCATACCATTAGGATATGTTCAGTGTTAGTATTTTGCCTGTAACTCCCCAAATACACAAGGAAGGCCTAATGACGAAAGCATGGCATATGAAGTATTTTGAAAGTGTTCATTTTGGCCCTTTGGATTAAATTAGGAAAAAAAAAAAACATGGATGCTATTAAAACTAGGTGTATTTAACTGAATTTTTCCTAATCAAGGATATTGGCACTATCTGAGATATCTAAAAGAGAAAAAGATTAAAATTTTTAAAATATATTTCTTTCCATTTTTAATCAATTTCCATGAACAAGAACATAGTTTCTATTTAAAGCAAAGTAAGGAATTTTAGTTATTTTGCATGTGAATACCTCCCCAGTAGACTATGTAAAATCTATCCTTGAACACTTGGAAAGAAGGTAATTAATACTCCCAGAGACAACTGCCTCCAAATGGAACCCAACTTGATCCTAAGTCTGTAGGCAATGGATGGTCTGTGGGGCTGACACTTGCATATCATCCCCAGATGAGATTATTCATGGCTGCATTATAGCATCCAGCAGCTCCCACTGATTAGTGGGAACAAAATACATGGATTTACTTTCAGCATGAGCATGTCAAGTGGGATTGAAAAGGAAAAATGGTAGAGCATTTCTATTGAAATGGATAAGAATGTGCCAAAGGTAGAGGAGGGAATGAGAGGGATATTTTCAGAAGCAGATATCATTTATAGAGAGATGGTGAAGAGTTTTTGGTTCTATGAAGATTAGGCAGACTTACCTTGAGGAGGATTTTCTGGGTAGGACTGGAGACTTGTCCTCATGTTTTGGTGGTTAGGTAAAGTACTGTAAGAGGCAAAAGAATGAACTGCAAGAATTTTGAGGGTGATTTAGTAAAATGATTCATAAGTTGAAAAGCAAGTATTCAGTCATTCTTCAGGCCAGTGATGGGTGAAATTTTTAGGATATACCAGAGATCAAAACAAATAATGATCTTTGTCTTCATGTGCCAAATCTGTTAAATTCTGATCCATCATTTAATACTTGAATAATTTTATAAAATAGACATTATTGTTTCTATTCCACAGCTAAGGAAACTGAGGCCTGAACACAATAAGAATTTTGTTCAAAGTCTTACTGGCTTTAAAATTATATTTTTTACTCCTCATATTCTGAAATTTTAGCTGCTTTACCATCCAAACTTCTTAGAAAATGAGATTGAGTTTTCTAGTTCATAATGAGATACACACTTCAAGACATCCCTAATATCCTGTGTCAGAACAAAAGATAAAATCTTTAAAAATATATTATTTATATATATCCTACATTATTCCAAACACATAAAAGTCATATAAATAATTAGCTGGATTCTCACCTCTAATAACTCAATACAGTGTACCAGGTTATATAGGGAATCAATATTTTTTTCCGTATGATCTGATAAAAGAGAACAGCCCTTATGCAGAATTACTTTAATCACTACAGAGGGGAAAGCTTCAATGGAAATGCCTATGTCAGCCTATCTTCAGGATTCACTGGTAAAAACTACTTGTTGCTGTCCTTACCCTTTTATAGCTGATGTGTGCCTGTGTGTTTTTTTTTTTTTTAAGAGAGAGAGAATTTTAATAATTACTTTTTAGTTTTCGGTGGACACAACATTTTTGTTTGTATGTGGTGCTGAGGATCGAACCTGGGCCGAATGCATGCCAGGTGAGCGTTCTACCGCTTGAGCCACATCCCCAGCCCTGTGCCTGTGTTTAAAGTTAGGAATTCCAAGAGTTCTTAGGCCAAGGATTGTTGAAATAGACTATCACTTTTCTGTGACTCATCCCACAGCTCTTTGTTTACAGCGGTCACATGTACACAGCATGTGTCTGAATATAGGTGACTTCTTCCCTTAATGTCACATGGTCCTTCTTTCTAATGCCAGCTGAAGAGTCCTCTTTCCCATGTTGTGTTAAGCTTCCACAACCAGGCACTAGAGAGTGACATGACTTTCCAGTATATAAACAGCCATAGGTGTTTCCTCAAACTAGGAATTTGTTTATTTGGGGTCTTTACTCTTGTGTATTTGGTAGTTGTGATGGTCCCTGTTTCAAGTGTAAGAAAAGGAAGTGTTCATGATGAAGGAAATGTTCTATTAAAAAGTCGCTTACTTATAACACTTAGTTTCTCTCTCTCTCTCTCTCTCTCTCTCTCTCTCTCTCTCTCTCTCTCTCTCTCTCTCGGTAGTATTGGGATAGAACCTAGAGTATTCTACCACTGAGCTACATTCCAGCCTTTTAAATTTTTATTTTTATTTTGAGGCATGGTCTCACTAAGTTACTGAAACTGTCCTTTAACTTTAAATCCTCCTGCCTCAACCTCCCAAATTAATGGGATTGATTATAAGCATGTACCACTTTGCCAGCTAAAAGGCTCAAATTTCTAACAAATCGTGTCTGAAAATGTCTTAAATGTAGGACATATGTAAAAAAGCAACTTACATATTATCAAAGTCATTCTTGTATTTCCATTTCAAATGAGATATTTTCTTGTTCTAAAGTTTTCTTTTCTTGGCATTTTCAAGCAGGATGCTTATATTTAGTTCTTTGATTATTTGGTCTTGACCGGCTGTTGCATCTCTTTTTAAACATTTCAAAAGTTACATTGATAGTTCCAAATCCTATGGGCAACTTGTTTTTTTCTATTCAGACATCCATGGATTGTGGATTCCCAGACCAAACTGCCATTTCATGGCAGTTTTCCATCTTTGTAAAATATCTGCCCCTTGCTGGTATTCACTGAGAAGCTAGCTTAGACCAGTGGGTTTCTGTAACCTGGGCTTTTTGACATTAGGTTTGGACTGGAGTACCAACTCACAAAGGAAAGGAGCAGGTTTGAGAGGTTTATTCACTTTCAGTGAAACAGAACTTTTCTCTTTCTGAAGGCTTTAGACATAAAACTAATTTCAAAAATACTGTAAAGAAAGTGTTTCATTGCTTCCCAAATCTTATATGTAAGTCTCCAGTCTGTTCATGGGAGAATTTCAGCCACTGTCTTGCAGGGTTAAGCTGTACTACTTATTGGTTTTTAATTTTCTTCTTGGGTAACATAGTCCCTCCAAAGAAAATTTCCTAAATGACAGAACAATGGTTTCTCCTCCATTTCTGTGACTAACAAGTCCCAGGAAACAGAAGTAGACATATGTTATGCCCAATTTAGTACCTAATAGTTGAGGCTTAAAACAAAATTTTCTTGGGCAAATTGGGTGATTAAATATGAATTAAAAATTCCAATGAAAGATTTCCAGATGCCCTTGCTTTCCATTTTGATTGTGTTTTTATTTCTATATTAATTTGGAGAAAAATAACTTTAAGTACTTTTTTACAGGCAGCAACCTGATATCTTAAAAGTGGTGACATTTCTGCAGGTGATATATACATTATAATTCAGGATAAAGGCAGCTTTAAACTAAGATAGTCTGGGATGAAATAAAAGCAAGCTATGGATAATGGTCATGTTTATTGCAGTAGTACCCTGAGAACTTAAGTTTAGTGGCATTTGAGGTGATTCAGATCATCTCGCTTTTACATCTCAACCTGCTGTGCTGAGGCAGAGGGACAATTGTGAATTGCCCATTAGTGTAATGGACAATTTGAAGCAGTTTTGGTTATAGATAAAACTTGCAGTTTTATGTTTTGGCTATAGATAAATTTGGCATAAGGTTCTGTAGATCTTTCTGATCCATATTTGTCCTTAAAGACAATTTCACCAATCAATAAAATGAATTATTCATTCAAAAGTATGGTTGTTCAGTAGCCTATGACATTGACATAGAAACCCAAATGCTCCTTGTTTGAGATTCTGCATGCCTTGTAAGTTTGACTGAATCAAATGTTGTTTTCATTATGCTCTCAAATGTATTGCTTCACACGTGTAACTCTGTAACTCTGTTGTATTATTACTTTAGTTTCATTTCAACTCATGTCGCATTGGAGTTCATTAAGAATTTGCTCAACTAAAATTAAATAATGTAAGTTAAAAGCAATAAAGAAAGTATTGGTTAAACATTTTGTGTTCATATTTAATGGAATATGTTTTGGGTAGGGCAAAAGAAAACCCAGGGGGTAAATGAATTGCTGGGTTTTCTAAATATGTGTTTCTAATTGTCATTTTTATTCCCATTCTTAGCCACACAATTCAGGGAGGATACTTTTTCAAGTTATTCATGCACCCAAGTTAATATATCTCATAGAACTAGATTTTTAGTTTAAATGAGCATGAATGTTAGTCTTGGGCACTGATCTTGACTTCAACAGTAACATCTGTGTAGTGTAAAAGTTATTTAGCCTAGGAATTCATGAAAATGACCAATAACTTTTCTGAGAATGTCTGAATACACTGAATACACTCCAGAGTAGTCATGGAATATCATTGGCTCTGCCAATATTTCTATATTTTTATTTTGTTTTTTTTTTTAGTAGTAGGGATTGAAACCAGGAGAGTTTTACTATTGAATTATTATATCCCCAGACCTTTTTTTTTTTAATTTTTTACTTTGAGACAAGACTCACTAGGTTGCCCAGGATAGCCTCAAACTTGCCATCCTCTTGCCTCAGCCTCCCAAGTTGGTAAGATTACAGGTGTATACTGCAGTGCCTGGAGCAACCTTTTAAACTTTCATTTTGTTGAGATAGTCTCACTAAATTGCTCGGGATAGTCTTGAACTTGTGATCCTCCTGCCTCATTCTCCCAAGTAGTTGGGATTATAGGCATGACTGCTCCAGGCTCCTACATCTCAATATCGACGGTTCTTGGTTTCTTCATCTCTAGGTTGATGACAATCCTCTTTCAGTATAAATCCCATAAGGACAGTCTCTAACCCTTTCAGAGTCCCAGGGTATTGCTTTCTGCTCTGAGACATGCTGTCATTTCCTCCCTTTAGATCCCTTATAGCTAAGTCTAAGTCTGTCTCTGCACTTTCTCAAAATACATTCTGTAAAATAAAGCCTTTATTACTTAATTCCTATGAAAGAGCATGTTTCCCCTCATTCAGTTCTTCCAGATCCGTTGCCTGTTTGTCAATGAAACTGCCAGCATGGTGTTACCTTTCTGTGTCAAGCTCTCCTGGGCCCCAGGAGTCCATATGTGGTCTGGCAGCAGCATTCTGTCTGCCTTGATCAGTTTGTCATGCTCGCTCTGGGGGTGGAAGTAGAACTAAAAGCACTCTTGGCAAGAGGAGTCTGTTCCTGCCTGGAGGCTGAGCCAATGCCCTGACATTTCCTGGGCAGCCCCATTAAACATTCCATCCAGAAGCAGTAACTCAGAGATGTAACTTCCAGTCACTGCATGTCCAATATCTTGTAGCTTGTGAGGGGAAAGCTGCTGTACTTAGTTATTCAGTAACTCTGACTTTGGTTTCTGCCTGAATTCTTTGGTTTTAGAAATGTGGAGGATATGGGTCCAGAGGAGGGAGTTCTCAGAGCAACAGCAGTGTCAAATCCAATGAGCTGCCAAGGGAAGGAGCTTAGGTGGAATGGATCACACCCAGGATTTTGACAAATTGCCCATGGTCCCTGAGGCTTAACAGATCCATGGTCCCTGGATCTGTTATTCCAATCTTTGCAGAGAGAGGAAATCACCTGCCTCCTGCCATTTCCTGCCTTCTTCTTCCCTACAGTTACTGATGGTGATAGTATGTCAGGCATGCAGATGAAATTTGAATGTTTCCCTTTCTATCATCAGAAAAGACAGTTTCCTAACAGGTTGAACACCATTCAGGCCAAAACTAAGGGATCAAGGAGTGTGCTGTCTTCCTGAATACAGAACTAAACACCTCACTCTGTAGTGTGCCATTTGCAGGCATCGATTCCAAGCAGATGTGGGCAGAAAAACAATTTAAGAAATTGTTCATTGTTGTTTCTTTCTATTCTATTTCATAGGAAGCTCCTTGGATAGTGCTTAGGATTCATAACTGGGTGGTGGCATTTCTTCATCTCTCCAATAAATATTTATGGTATTATACACCCACTTGGCTAATGCATCATGTGGCAGTCACTCTGAGACTCATTGCTCTGAGGGAAAATATTTCAGGTACCAAGGCCAGAGAAATGTTTGAGAAACTTAGCTACATAATACTGCATGCTAAAATCCTTAGGGCAATTATCATATTATATTCACTTTTGTATTCCCAACAATGAGCAAATAGGCACATAGGAAATGCTCAATTGAAATTTTTTAAAGGAATAAAGAAATTAACAAGTGAATTGAAATTTATTTCAAATGAATGAATGAGTGCAGAGCCCCCGCTGCTCTGTGATCTGGAGCATCTCTGAACTATTTATACCAAAATTCTAAGAGTCTTGATAATTCCCAAGTTTACAGAGACAGTAACCAGTATGGGAAATAATTCAAAAAATCCTGATTCTTCCTGCCACCGTTCCCAAATCATCTCTGCTGCCTTAGATAAATGAAAGTCACTGATGAGAAAAATCCAATGGGTATTTTTCACTCATTTATTTATTCAACAGTCAAAAATATCTCATGAGGGACTGTTATATGCAAAAGTGCTCTGGATGATAAGAAGCATGGGTGTTTTGAAATCTAGATTTGGGCTCATCGGGTTAATTAAATAGCAGTGCAAGAGAAATACCAATGAATACCAATGCAGCTCATGTGAACCTTGCCCAGGGTAAGAAAGCAAAGCAGGTTTCTGGAAGGGCATGTGTAGAGATTCTAATAGGAGAGTCATTATGGTTTAGCAGGCTGGAAAAAGACAACATTCCAGGGAAAAGGTGTTAGTCCAGGAACAAAGGTAGGAATGAGCATGTCACATGCCGAGTAAATTGACTAGATTGATGGGCACTGAATGGCAATGGCAGGATAGAAAGAAAGAGTGGGTTGCATCACAGGCTAAGGTACCAAGTCTTTGATTTGTCAATGGGAACAAAATTCATACCTCCTAGCAAGTGAGATGTCTAATACAAGAAGAGTAATAAGATGACTAGTTAGGCAGTAAAAAATGGGTATAGTATTCAAGGCAAGAGAAAAGATTAGAATAAATAGGTTGCAAGAATCCTATATGAGATAAACAAATGCTTGGGAGAAATTATTGGGAAGGTAGAAAGAGGAAATATTGTTAACATAGGAAGCATCAAACAAATAGGCACCAATGACCGTTAGCCTCCAACAACCCAAATGCAGAAGGCAGATTAAGTGTCCGTTGCACTTGATCACATTAAGAAATGTTTACTGTTTAAAAGAATAATCATAAACTCTCTAATGGATCATGAATGGTGAAGACAAATTATACTTATTGAGCATTTAGTAGGTGCCCCACACTGTGCCAAACAAGTTAGTTACATTGTCGCATTGACCTTTCACTCTGACCTAATTGTTATTCTGTCTTACTCCCATTTTATAAATAAGGAAGTAAAGACCAGTTTAAATAACTTGAGGAGAATCATTACATCAATCAGTGAGGCAGATTTGGGTTTTGAATCCAGGAAGTCTGATTCTGTCTCCATCCTTACTGACATAAATTACTCTTCTGAGTAGAACTATTTTTAGTCTTCATTATTTGTTCATATGGAAGCCTTTTTTTTAATCAAAAACCTAAACATTTTCAGTTTTACCTACCTTCTATCTAACTGAACTTGCAGGTAGAGTTTCCCCAAACATGCAAATGGCAGGAATTACCTCAAGGGACTTCCCCAAACCATGCAAAGATGAGACTCATTGGGCCAGGTATAGTGGTACACGCCTGTATTCTCAGACTGAGGAGGCTGAAGCAGGTGGACTGCTAATTCAAGGCCAGCCTCAGCAAATTTACAAGCTTTGAGAATAAAACACAAAAAGAAAACTTCTTAAAGTTTTTTTTGTTGTTGTTGTTTGTTTGTTTTTGTTTTTTAATAGAGAAAGCAAGGAGAAAAAAATGCTTGGAATAGGATAGATTGACAAGTATTATGTTTTAGACATGTGATTCCCCTCAGAAGCTCAAAAATGTTCATAGATAAAATTGTTAGATTGTGAGAGCTAAAACTTAATTGTGGAATAATCCACTTGAATGGATTTAACTAGATGGTTACTGTAGGAAGGTAGCATATGGCTGGAGGAAGACGATCGCTAGGGGTGTGCCTTTAGGGTTTGTATTTTGTGGTGAGAGCTGCTCTCTGATTCCTGGTTGCCATGTCCTGAGCTGTTTTCTTCCACAACACCCTTCCACCATGATGTTCTGCCCCATTTTGGGTCCAGACATGAGTCCATTGACCTGGAACTGAACCTCTGAAACCAACCAAGAGCCAAAATAAAATTTTCCTCCTCTTAGTTCTTGTTGAGTCTTTTAGTCACAGTGATGAAAAGCTTAAAATACCAGGGAATATTAAAGAGCAACCAACTTACATTAATTCACACAACAAATATTTATTAATACCCTTGGGTTAGATATTCTTTTGGATAACTGGAGATGCAACAGTGAGTCAAAACAATGTTTCTTTTTCCTGAAGATCTTGGAAACTAGCAGAAAAGGTAGGAGTTCATTAAACAATCCAACCAGGAGTATGAAATTTTATCTTTGTCAATTAACACAAAGGGGGGATATGCAGGTACTATGAACCTAAGATTAGGGGATTTGACTAAATCAGGAGAATCTGGAAACACTGGTCTGAGGAAGTGAAACTGCAGATTAAATCAGAAGAAGGGGTCCATTGGTGAAGTGGGAGGGAAGAGGACTGTGAACAGTGTGAACAGTGTGTACCAAGCTCTGGTGGTAGGAGGGGCCCAGAACACACAGTGGTCTGAAGACAGGCTGCTGGAGAGTGTGAACATCAGCCTGGGGGTGAGGAAGTCAGAAGAGTAGCCCAGGACTAGTTGGCCACAGTGAGGAAGATGGAGAAAGTAATCCTGCCCCTGTGTGCTAGGAACCTCCAGAGGAATAAAATCAAAAGAACATATATTAATTTAAAAAGGGATTTATTTGATTGGCTTACACTACCAGACCCTGGGTAGCCCCACAGTGGCCACCTGTAGGCCAGAGAAACTGGTAGCAGCTCAATTCAAGAAACTAAAAT